CCCCTGCGTTCGACTCACTTTGCATACCCCTGGGTTAGACACAATTTGCACACCCCTGCATTTGACTCAATTTGCACACCCCTGGGTTAGACACAATTTGCACACCCCTGGGTTAGACACAATTTGCACACCCCTGCGTTAGACACAATTTGCACACCCCTGGGTTAGACACAATTTGCACACCCCTGCATTTGACTCAATTTGCACACCCCTGGGTTAGGCACAATTTGCACACCGCTGGGTTAGACACAATTTGCACACCCCTGGGTTAGACACAATTTGCACACCCCTTCGGATCATGAGTCTGTCATGACTGTTTCTTTGTGTAATTTTTGTGTTTTTCTGCACGTTATCTTGCTTTTATTATTATTTTTAATCTAATTTCATATTGATGGTCTGGTACAGTAATTATTATTCATATGTTTCTTTTATTCTATGTTTATTTTTATTGTTACTGTCTTTTAATTCTATTATTATTGCCACAGTTGATAATGTCACATAGCAATATACTGTTTCTGTGGATTGATGCATGTATCTGCTGCTGTTAAACCTGAATTTTTCCAATGCGGGACAATAAAGGTTGTTTCTATTCTATTCTATTCTATTCTATTCTATTCTATTCTATTCTGTTTTTTACAGCTCAGTTCTCATGTTTTTGTGCACTGTTGAGTCTCATGAACTTATTTTAACATTTGAGTTTTGACTTTTTCTTCAAGTCTTCCATCAGGAACACTTCACAGAAGGCCATTGAAGTATATTGACGAGAGGTTCAATGTGACTTTGATGGAAGGAGAATGACCATATTGTTAAGGGCGARGACAACTCATCAGACTTTTAGCTGGTGAATCTGAATGTTGTAACCATGACATGTTAAATTTAGGTTAGCACATCAATGAAATTCAGTTTGCAACTGACAAGGATTATTTTTGATTTGATAGAAATGCTTGTCAGCACGTATATCAAGTAAAAACATATTGCCAAGATATCCGTCTGCAATGAATGGTGTTTCTTAAAGGCAGAAGCTAACCAATGAAAAGCTACTGTTTAGATGCAATTTTACGTGGAAATATAGCCATGATGAACTGTTTACATCACGTGTCAAACTCAAGGCTCACAGGMCAGATGTTTTTTTTTACTCAATACGAAAATTGTTTATTATATCAATGGTTGGCTTTAAGTAACTCTCCCATAATGCATGTTGATCATCCATGGGAATTCCCTGTAGKAAAATGGGAGAGTTCAGAATTCAAGATGGCAGCTACTCACGAGAAATTCATCAGTGAGTAAAACTCCTAGTTTTACTTTTAATAGAATTTCTGTATTATTTATTTCAGATTAAGTCAGTTGTACAATTAGTTCTTATCAGTGTTTAAAAGGACATGTTAAAACACTGTTTAGTCAACAACTGGCCCTTTGAAGGCCACCATAACGCTCATGTGGCCCTTGGTGAAAATTAGTTTCACACCCCTGGTTTACGTTGACAGTCCGCCCCTTTCAGCACGGTGTTGCACTTGTGCCACAGTGGTCAATTTTTTGAAACATGCGATGCCTCTAGCCAGTACACATCGTTGGACATGACCTTTTTTTTTTTTTTAGCTCTGAGCTAACACAGCTGAATATCTTCAGCTTTTGAAAGGAAGAATGTATGACGTGTCATTCACCTGTTTCTCTAAGTTTCCTTGACCAAACGCTGCATCTAACATCCACAACAATACCTATTTCTTTGGGGTTTCTGCTTTCAAATCTTTGATTTATTAAAACTATCTCGTACTCAGTCTTGCCCAAACAGTTCTCTACAGCCTCACCTTGGCAGCAGAGTTGGGCAGATCCTCACCCACTTTTAGACCTTCCACACAACTGTTTCTGTTTTAAAAAAATACTTTTTCACCCTGCTAATGAAAACAAGTATACCTGTTTTAAAGTGTTGTCACAATAAATACTGATGTGTTTCACAGTCCAACCCTAAAACGTGCCTGTAAATCTGCTTTGGTTGACTGAATCGCAGCTAAATGTCCCCTCAGTCCGCAGGGAAAGCTACAGTGGGGCCTATTTTGCTGGCATGTTCCGAGTTGCCAATGTGGAGTTCCTCCCGGAGTACCGCCAGGCGGAGTCCCACGAGTTTGTCTCCATAGCTACCAAAATACAACATGTGGTGTGTATCGGCACAACCCTGACTCTCACGTGTTGTTTGGTGCTGAGGTAAGGGAGCGTGCTGGTAATTGGTGGTGTCTCGTAGGTGAGCAGTGTGTACAAGACGTCCTCTGTGGCCCGACTTTACAAACAAGCTGTCATTTCAGACCTGAGGTAACTCATCATCATCATCATCGCGAACTGTGAAGAGCTCCAGCTGATGACAGTTTTCTTCCCCTCTGTTCTCACCCCCCCAGTAACAACGACCAGGGGGGCGTGTTGGTGCATTTCTGGATGGTGTTTGTAATCCCCCGGGTGAARAGCGCAGTAATGTCTGAGGAATTTGTAGGGGCCATTCTCAAGAACTCAGTGCTCACAAGTCTGCAGAACAGGTCCTCTGTTGGCTACCTGCTGGGTCTTCCTGTGGACATCGACTCCATCCTCATTAACGGTGCGTTTGTGTGGGTCTGTGTTCAAAAGTCTGCATCTGGGTGCGGCTCTAATGAAATAATCTGCCTTGCAGTGGTTCAGCGTTCAGATTACACGTCGAACACAGAAGGTAGGCTAACAGWAACACCTGGGTTAGGTCAGTAAAAGTACTGTGTGTCATGTCTGGAAGGTTTTTTTCTTCTTCTTTTAGACTCACAGTGTGTAGACAAGCTGTATGCCAACCTTCCCGGGGTCAGTGTCCCTTTAAATGTCTTCTCATCATGGGGGGGTGTGAGTTGCCAYGTGAAGCTGACCTCTGCGCCCGGCTCCCTGATCCGCCTCGTCGTCTCCTCGTTTCTCATCGAGCCCACTGACTGTGTGGAYGACGCCCTGGTGGTGTACGACGCCCTGCTGCCCATGAGGGGGCGCATCCTGCACAGGTGTGCTGATCCCCCCATCACTGCTTTTGAGATTAAAACACTTTTTCATAAACGACAGCCTCTATGCAGTTTGCTTAAGATAAAGCAGCAGGTGTGAAGGTGAASTGAAATGTGTCTCTGCAGCCTGTGTGAGCCGGTGTCCAGCTCCATCTCCATCGTCTCCACCTCCAATGTCATGTTGCTGTCCTTCAGGATGAGTGACAACAAGAGCTTCAAAGGGTACTTTGAGGCCATCGCTGAAGAGAGTAAGACACATTTCTGGTTTTTCTTCAATGCTAAAAGATCTAGAACATAAAAAAGGCRTCCCGGGTGTTTCAGAATGTGTCTCTGAAGTTGAGACCCAGCCTGAAGGTCAGATCTACAGCCCCTTCTACCCCAGCATGCTGCCTCCAGAGTGTGCATGTACCTGGAAGTTCAAGGTAAAGACTCTTACATACTAAAACACATTTACTATCAGTAGTTTTTCTTTACTAACWACGTGTTCTGTTGTTTTTCAGACTCCAAACCCAGGTTTAGGAGTAGCACTTCACTTCCAGAACTATGTATTGAAACCAAAGGACATGAAAGGCTGCAACAACGGCTGGTGGAGGGTGAACGAGGTCATGTATGTGAACTGAATTTTCCTGCAAAACTGCTTGTGTGAATGATAACTGCTGAAAACTTCAGSTGAAAAGCTGCTGAAATGGAGCTGAAAATGTTTTATAGCAAAACTGTCAATTTCAGTTCAATTTGAAAAATTGAAAGAAGCACAAAAAGGCAGAAACTAGAAGAATAGAAAGGAGCAGAATAATAGCTATAATAGAAAAAAAAGCTAAAATTGGTATAAAAATTAGTTAAAGTTAGCAGACACATGTTGAAATGTGCACCCAGATGGTGAAAGGGCTGTGAAAATGTCAAATTAGTTGGAAAAAAAGAAAAAAGTACAAAAAAAATTTCAATTTGTTGTAAAATAGCTAACAGCCAAAATGTGCAGTAAAACAGCTAAAATGTAGCTAGAAAATCTTACATTCACATAAGGAAGCATAAGGAGCACAAGTTAGCTGAACTAAAGAAGCTGATGTTCACCAAAATGCACATTTAACTTAAAAAAGCTAACTTTAGCTAATAACAGCTAAATATTAGCAAAGAAATTGCTGCAAATAGCTGAATAAAGCAGAAAGCAACTGAGAAGCATAACTAGCTCAAATTAGTAGAAAATAGCAGAAGAGTAGCAGAAAGAAGCACTATAGCTAAAATGTTAGGAAAAAACTAAAATTAGCAAAGAGGCTAAAATTAGCACAAGGAAGTTAAAAAGAGCAGAACTAGAACAAAATGGTGCTATAAAGATTTATAAACATTTTGAAAGGTTTTAAATGTTGAAAAGAGCTTCATTTATTTTCAAGGGGAAAATGTGGCTGAAAAAGTGAAAGAGCAAAAAAGTATAAATAGCTGAAAAACCAAAATTCATAGCCGAAATGTCCTAAAAGAGCTGAACGTTTTGATATATGAATTGTTAAAATAGCACAAAAATTGCAGAACAAGATATGTGCCAAAAAATGTATGGGAGAAAAAAATTATCTCAACAATGTGAACGCTGTGAGGCGTTCACACAATGAGCGTCCACGACTTGGAGGCAGGTGATGGTTATTATTGATGTCGATGTTTTTTTTTTCCAGTTTCTGTGGCATCTACGTGGGGTACCACACGGTGTTTCGGATCGCCCACCAYAGCCCGGCGGTGGAGTTTCGCTGCAGCTCGCCCAACTCTGTTCAGCCTTTTCAGGCTTCCTACAGCAGTTACAACATCAGCCATCGTAAGCACTGCATTCAGATTCATTCAGAAAAATCTGAAATAAAACAGTGATTTTTGCACTTTGTGCTCCCAACCTAAAACCTGTGCATTCGTCAGCCTGTCCAGAGAGCTACTTCCTGTGCACCACCGGGCTCTGTGTGGAGCGGAGTCGACTCTGTGACGGTCTGGATGACTGTCAGGACGAGAGCGATGAGATGCTCTGCTGTAAGCTGGTTTATAAGTTACATGATGTGCTGACTATATGACAAAAAAGTCCTAAAATCAACATGTTTATCTCCACAGCAAGGCCCACCATGAACTGTGGAAGCAGCAGTCATCCCCTCTTTGTGTGCAACGGAGAGGTGGACTGCAGTCATGGAGAAGATGAAATCAACTGTACTCAAGGTTTGCATTTTCTGCACGACTATTCATTTTTTCCCATCTTTTGTTCTCTAAAAATGTAAATACGTTTTGACAGAAACCACCTGTTCTGAGATCAGGTATCAGTGCAGAAGTGGATCCTGCATCCTGAAGAAGAACGCAAAGTGTGATGATGTTCCTGACTGTAAGGACCACAGTGATGAGGCTGACTGTGGTGAGCCCAACCCAGCTTTTTATTCAATTTCATTCAACTATACTTTTTATAACTTTTGAGACGGTATTTAAAAAATAACCAAACTATTTATTCACACGAACACAATCCAACAAATCTCACCTTTACATCCACCTCAGACTGTGGTCATCCCACCCCTGTGAATAAAGGGGGTTCATCTACAGGCCTCCACCGCATTGTGGGAGGAGTTAACTCTGTGGAAGGGGAGTGGCCTTGGCAGGTCAGCCTTCACTTTGATGGTAGCCTGTACTGTGGCGCCTCTGTTCTGTCATCTAATTGGCTCATCTCAGCCGCCCACTGCTTCAGCAAAGACAGGTGAGCCACACTCACTGCTGAGAAATTAATCTTTTATATACTTATGTCTTTTATTTACCTGTGAGTTTGTTATATTTACAGTTTGTAGATCAATATTTTACTGCTGCTGCCGATTAGTGGAACAGTTTGCCAGCACTCTGTTTCCTGGTTGGAAGGAATTTACTGAGTAGCTAAAAGCTTGAAAAAAGTCCTTGTCACATCTGTTATCCAAATTAACCACGATAATTTATAAGATGTGCACCTACAGAGTCCCTGACCCCTGCCCTCTGACTCTGCAGGCTCTCTGACCCTCGTTACTGGAGGGCCCACCTCGGCATGCTGATGCAAGGCAGTGCCAAACACGTAGCAGAGATCCAGAGGATCGTGGTGCATGAATACTACAACGCTTATACCTTTGACTATGACATCGCCCTGCTGCATCTGAAAAAGGCCTGGCCTGCCTCCCTCAGCCCGCTGGTCCAGCCCGTGTGCCTGCCCCCCTCCTCCCACACCATCACAGACAGCCATCGCTGTATCGTCACAGGGTGGGGGTACCGATCCGAGGATGGTTAGTGTTTTTGTCAGTTTAGTTTCTTGTTAATGAAATCACCAAAAAAAAAAGAAAATGTTTGCAGTTCCACAACAACTACCCTTTTGATTTTTTAGCTTACCTTTGGTTCATTTTAACTAGTTTTTTTGCCACTTTTAACGTTCAGCTAGCCTTTTGCTACTTTAGCTTTGAGCTAGACCTTTGCTACTTTAAGTTTTTACTTGCAAATTGATACTAAATCCTAGAAAATATTTTGCTACTTTTAGCTTCTAGCTACATTTTGCTACTTTTAGCTTATTGTTTGATACTTTTATCTTCCAATTAGCCTTTTGCCACATTAGCTTCTAGCGAACCATTTTCTACTTTAAGCTTATAGTTGAAAATAGCTACTAAAAGCTAATATTTTTGCTACTTTTTGCTTCTGCCAAATCTACTACTTTTACTTTGTCTTTTGCTACTTTTAGCTCATATTTTACTACTTTTACCATCCAGTTAGCCGTTTGCCACTTCAGCTTTTAACAAGCAATTTTCTACATTAAACCCTTACTTTCAAATTGCTACTAAAAGCTAAAAAAATGTTGGCTACTTTTAGCTTCTAGCTATTTTTTTGCTGCTTTTAGTTCATCTTTTGCTACTTTTACCTTCCAGTTAGCATTTTTCTACTTTTACTATCCAGTCAGTCTTTTGCCACTTTAGCTTTTAGCAAGTAATTTGCTACTCTAAGCTTTTAGTTGAAAACAGCTACTAAAAGCTAAAAGTATTTTTCTACTTTTTGCTTCTAGCTAAACTTTTGCTACTTTTCACTTTTGTTTTGCTACTTCAGCTCATATTTTGTTACTTTTATCTTCCAGTTAACTTTGTGCTATTTAGCTTTTAGCTAGTCTTTTGCTCCTTTTAATTTCCAGTTATTCGACACATTAGCTTTTGTTACAGTTTGTTTGATGCAATAGGCAACCCGAGATGTTTCATTTCTCTGGTTGCCTGATTTTCAAAATAAAAGCCCAAGGTATATCAGAACCATGTCTTTTTTACATTCAGTTTTCACCTGAACCTGGTTTTCTTGAGCTTACAGGTAATATACAGTATGATATATTATATATGGTATAATATAGTTACTTGTCTCACCCTTCTGCAGATAAGGTTTTGCCGACGGTCCTTCAAAAAGCTCAGGTGTCCATCACGTCTCAGACTGAGTGTCAAAGGATTTATGGCCTCATCTCTCCACGCATGCTGTGTGCCGGGGTCCCTTCAGGAGAGCGAGACGCCTGCAGGGTGAGCCTTCCTGAAACTCAACACTTTCAGTTTTTTACGAGTTGTTGATTTTTCATCCACCTGTTCTTTTTCAGGGGGATTCAGGAGGTCCTCTGTCATGTCAGGCACCAGGAGGGAGTCGCTGGTTCCTGATTGGGATTGTCAGCTGGGGGTCCGGCTGTGGCAGACCAAACCTCCCTGGGGTTTACACCAGGGTGACCAAATTTACCTCTTGGATCTATAGCCACATCAGCTGACACGACGATGTTCATCTATTATTCTATATTAAAACAATCTGTATTACACACTGTGTCCTTTTGTCTGTTTGATGTGTGGATTTAAATCTTTCAAATAATACAGGGTGCCGATGTGCCACTGAGCCTGAACAGATCCAAAACTCTCCCGAAGAGATGGTTCAGGTCTTTCAAAGTGGGGTCATGTGGTAAGGTTGTAACAAACAATATTTTACATTTTGTAGAAAACTCTTTGAAGAACCGTGTTTCCGGGTGCTACCATGTTTTTTGGAACACACAAACAATGTGACGCGTTAAGTCCCGCCCATGACCCACAATCTTCATGTCACATGACCTTTTTTATTAAGCATGAAATGGCTATTGACTAATGACTGATTAGAACATGTTGCAAGGTAGGTCTACAAAAATTAAAGAAGTTACCTGAGGCGTATTTTTAACTTTTTATTTAACAAGGGCAATATCACTTTTGCTTACACAAAGGAGGCGGGGCTTAAACTTTGCACTGAAACCAGTCTACTGGGACACTGGTCTTGTTTTGGCTTTCTGTCAGACGTTATGCATTGCATGATTCACGTTAAAGTGTTATTCGTAAGTGCAAGTCGTGGAAACTACAGCTAGCTGTAGCACTTCCTGTTAAGCCTGGGGCACTTTTTGCAGGAATTTCRTAATTTATTTTATTTTTACTGGTGTAACCTTGTGGTGCAAAACTAGCAACAGCAGCAGATTTATAACTTATTTTTGCATGAATTATTTTTAAGACATAAATGATCCAGTTTGAGTTGTCTGCAACAAGTAAGATATTGACAAGTACAGACCAGAACCCTATTTCGAACTATGCGTTTGTTTTAAAGACTTTCCTCTCATTTTATTGTCTCCCTTTKAAGTCGATCAGGTTTGCATCTTTTCTCATCTGCAGCGCTCCGACTGGAAAATCTCACACGTCTCCCTCAAACCCTCTTTTGTCCCCTCAAAGGCCAAGCCCCGCGTGCACGGGGAGCAAGTTTGCCCACAAATATCTGTCCAACAGATGGTTGCGTGAATCGTACCCTTTCATAGTGCTCCCATTGTCCCCCGCGCTGCATTCTGGGGCTCCATGTGACACCTGTTCAGGTAAAACCGGGAGGCGGTGAATGCCCCGCCGCATCCGAGCTTTTCAGCTCAGATTTCTGCTCTCTCTTCCCCCCGCTCTTCCTTTTTTTGTCAGAGGAAGCAACAGCAGGGGGTTTCCTCTCTCTCTCCATCGTTTCTATGCCCGAGTTATTGTTGCATATCGCCTCTCCGGACCTAAACGGGACAGGATGTGGACTCTGCCCAAAAGCAAGAATTGCGAGGTGTACTGCGTCTCGGCGCGTGAACACTGCCCAGCTGCACAGGTAAGCCATCACCGTGCGCCTTGCCACTGTGCGTAAAAGCTTACCAAACCCCACCATTTGTCTTTAATCTCATCTAGTCTATTATWTTTATTCAAATTTAGGGGTAATTTCTAATAAAACGAGGATGTTGTTAACTTCACATAATTAAGACTCCTGTTAATTATACAAACCCATCTGAGGTGGGGTGTGCCTGTCTGATGACTGATAAATGCTGACACTGCAGGTCGTGGGAAAGCAGGACCTTTAAGCCAACTGTTCCCCCGGAGRGTCTTCTAAAGCTTTAGGTGGTTCGATCTGAAAGCTGTCAGAAAGCCAGCCTCTGCTCGGCCATAAAAATCTATCCCTCATTGATTCTTGGCACAGAGGATGCATCTCTTTTACTCAGCCTGAAAAAGAAGCAACTTGAGAGCAGACATTAAAAGGTTTAATGAGATTTATGAGAGGAGAAATCATGTTTTTGCTCCTGTGTGTTTGTCTGTTAGCAAAATATCTCWTCAAATACTGAATGAAATTTATTCAARCTTTCAGGAAAAAACCAWTGGCTTAGCATTTACAACTGAKTAACGTTTGGAGTCAATCCAAATCCAAAGGGCCGCCACAGTATAATCTTAATTTACAATTGGCAGTAACACAGTTACTTTTACTAATACAGTAGCTGATACTGATCCCCGACTCTGAGCTCTTCTTCCTGACTCCAACCGAGGAAGACAAAGCTGAGTTCTCTCTCCGAAGGGACTCAGTTTGGCTTTTTAAGTCTTAGCCCAWGAGCCAACTAGGGAAGACTTAACAGCCGGGACCTCGCATGCCGCCGGCGATCCCACCTCGAGGCTCCAAGCCTCTAAAGTGTGTTTTCACCTCCCGAGGGGAGATTTTAKTTTGAAGAGAAKGGACCGGATGACYGCTTGAATTTTTCTGGCTTGGACTGAAACTGACGAAAAGTTACCTGAAAAACACCTGTTCGCCAATGACCAGTAAGCGAGCCGACATCAGTTCCCTGACTGATCGGAGGTGAGMCAGCTCCTACCCCGAGGGTGTCTTAAGAAGCCATCACCAGGTAAAGCTGACGTGTTCGGGGTGACGTGTCATGTGGAYCCCTGAGWGCAGAAAAGACGTGCAGTTTCCGGTTGACCCACACTTTGATAAAGTAAAAGTAGTAGAAACCTACTAACCTTACTTTCCTCCTTTTCTTGTCTTTATTTGCCAAAACTTAAGCTGAAAGTGCCAGTAAAATTGTTTGGTTGTTAACATCAGAACTGACRTTTTTACTGTTCTATATAAGTAAYCTGCGTTGATGTGAATTGAAATTCGGACGCGGGTTTTATCTCATTTAACTTGGACACTTTTTATAGGAATACCCACAATTAAGTGTAATTTATGATTTGTTCAATTTGTGTAAATAAATGATTGCATAGWCTTTTATGAATCAACTTGAACTYSTCTGAACGTTCACTTATTGTGTCACTTTTCACTTCGCACAGKCAAGATATTAACAAGTAATGAGAAAWACCTTGGTAAAACKTTCCTCATAACCTTGTGTATGAGAGATGTGGRAGAAGCTTAATACCACCTTAAGTCCCCCCTCCTACATAATGAGATACAGTGAGATCTCTATTTGAAAACCATATGATGTATCCACTCTACTTTTTTGTCAGCGGTGTAAAAAGTACTTGTAAATACAACCAAAAAGTAAAAATACCTCAACAGAAAATGACTGATRAAAATGAAATTCACTGATAAGAAAACTACTTAAATAAAAAAAATCATGAAAGTAAAAGCAGTACTTTTACACACACTCTTAGAAAAGTGTTGAATTTACTTAACCAAATTATTTCAG